AGAAAGAAAAAAAAAAAAAAAAAAAAAAAAAGATGGAAAGAATTTTAAAAAAAAAAAACATATTAATTAATTTAAATTTCATGTTCGAACGTGTTTATTTAAAAAAAAAAAAAAAAAAAACGGGTGATGGGGGACGGAGAAGGAGTAGGAGGGGGAGGGATGTGTCGCCTTAAATAACATAAAATTAATTAAATTTCGCGAGGAGAGAGAAGAAGTTGGTGGGAGACGGAGGAGGAGAGAAAAAAAGGAACTGAAAACGGAAATTATCCGGAAAAATTTATTATTTCAAAAATATTATTATTATTATTATTATTATTATTATTATTATTATTATTATTATTATTATTATTATTATTATTATTATCATTATTAAAATTTTCATTGCGTCGTAAAAACAAGACAAAAAAAAAAAAAAATTTACGGATCGTAAACTGAGCGATACCTAATAATAATAATAATATATTGCAAAAAAAATTATTATTATTATTATTATTTATGAATTATCACGTGGTAGACGCGGATCGACTTTTATATCCCGAAGAAAAAAATAATAATAATAATTTTTTGATAAATTTTCCCCGGAAAATTTTTTTGTTTTTGTGACGTTTTACGTTGTGTGACGTTAATTGTTGCGGTTGTTGTTGTTGTTGGGGGGATAAAAAAAAAAAAAAACAAACAAATTTCTTTTCTTTTCTAGAATGTTTATTACAAAACGTTCCCCCCCCCCCGCTCACTCACCCACCCATCACGAAAATAATAATAATAATAAATAATAATAATAATAAATAATAATAACGTGGAAAATTAAACGAAAAGAAAAGAAAATTTTTTTTGTTTTTTCTTTTTTTTTTTTTTTTTTTAATAAAATAAATCACGTGACTAAAAATAATTTGAATGAATGAATTGATTTCAGTGTTTGATCGGTGATAAATATGGCGAAATACCATTGGATGAAGAAATTAAATGTAAAGATTACGACGATTTACTTCAAACGTGTCAATTACAAGAAAACGAATTAAATTTACTTCGGGAATTTTATAAGAAAAAAGAAAATGGTCATGATTACGTACTTCAACAACCTCAGTAAGTTTCATTAATGATGATAATAATAATAGGTGGGCGGCCATTTTTTATTTTTATCCAAAAAAAAAAAAAAAAAAAGGCACACACATTCTTACTCGTTTACTCATACGTCATTAAATTAATTAAAATTATTTATTTAATTTGGGTGGAGATGATGGAATTTTCTGGAAAAGAAATTTTTTTTTTTTTTTTATCGTTACGTCACTTCCTCTCTCTTTCTCTCTCTTTCTGTCTTTCGATACTTATACAGTTTTGTTGACTCCAGTTAAAAAAAGTTTGACGTACGTAATAATAATAATAATTCGGAAAAGCGTAAGATAAAAAAAAGGGGGGAAGAAAATTTCGTAAAAAGGTTTTTTTGTTAATAATAATGATGATGGAAACGAGGGTAGGGGAGGGGGAAGGGGAAGGGGGAAGCTTTCAAGTTAAAAATTACATTAAAAACATTATAAAACGTTTAAAAGTAATCTTATTACATCACAAAAGGAAAAAGAAACAAAATTTTATTCCGATAATTCATCGTAGTCAAGTCGCGTGTGACAGTTTTTGTGAAAAGTTATTTAAAAGAAAATGTGTGTCTGTCGAGTTGGATTTATAAGAAAAAGGAAAAGGAAAAAGAAAAAGGAAAAACGAACGAACGTTTTTTTTTTTTTTTTTTTTAGTTTGTTAGGGAAAATCGCTTTTGTTTAAGCCGTTTTGCCAAAAGAGAGTGAGAGTGAGAGAGAGAGAAAGAAAGTTTGGAAAAATGAGATAAACATAGGAAATTTAGGAAAAGATATGAGAGAGTAAGAAGAGAAAGTTGGAAAAGACGAGATAAAGAGATAGAAATTTGGAGGAGAAATGAGAGAGAGAGAGAGAGAGAGAGAGTGAGAAAGTTGGGAAATATACGAGAGAGGGAAAGAGAGAGAGAAAATTGGGAAAAATACGAGAGTGAGAAAATTTGGAAAGATGAAATAAAAAGACAGAAATTTGCAAAAGACATGAGAGAGTGAGAGAGAAAAAGTTTGGAAAGACAAGGTAACGACAGAAATTTTTGAAAGACAGAGAGAGAGAGAGAGAGAGAGAGAGAAAAATTTGGGAAAGGCACAAAAGAGAGAGAGAAAGTTGGGAAAAACATGATAAAGAGAGAGAAAGTTGGGAAAAACATGATAAAGTGAGAGAAAATTGGGAAGACATGAGAAAGAGAGAGAAAATTGGGAAGACACGGGAGAGAGAGAGAGAAAGTTGGGAAAGCCACGGAGAGAGAGAGAGGGAGATTTCGATTCTATTAATTTTTTCTTTTTAAAAAACGAATCAAATTCAATTTTTCCTTTTTGATTTTACTTAAAAATTAAAAATTTTTTTTTTGTACTAGATACGGTCCTGTTCTTGTTACTTATTCTATTTATCATAACGATTATTAAATAATTTAATTTTTTTTGTAATTTTTAAGTAAAAGAAAATCATTTAAAAAAAAGAAAAAATTCGTATTTTGCGAAAAAAAAAAAGGAAAAAAACTAGAAAACGTTTGAGTTGTTTGTTTGTTTGTTTGTTTCTTTTCATTCTTTTATTACTGGAGAAAAATGAAAAGAAAATTATGGAAGGGAAAAATCCAAAATAAATAAATAAAAAAAAAAAAAAAAAAAGAAAACCGACAAAGCCGTCGTATGTCAAATAAAAAAAAAAAAAAAATGAAAAATGAATTTTTTCTTATTTATTTATTTTCCAGAAAAATAAGGAGAGAGAAAATGAGGGGGAGGGGAGGAGGGGAGGAGAGGAGAGGGAAGGAAATAAGGATCCTTTTTAATAATAATAATAATAATATTCAAAATTTTGATAATTAACAGTTTATTAAATAAATTTGTCTCTCCCGTTAATTTTCTACCAATTAGACACACACACACATTGAATTAAATTGTCCGATAAATTTTCCGACCTCTTTTCCCCTTTCCAAAATATTTATCATTATTATTATCACGATTATTTAAATTTTTTTTAATTTTCCGCAGGGAAATAAATGACGAATGGATAAAAAATCATAAACTCTTGAGGAAAATATTTAATAAATACGTAAAGAAAAGTTCGAGGAAATCTGTTTTGGAAGAGCAGTTGACTTACGCATTGGGTAAATAATTTATTTCTTTTATTCGTAAAATAATAAATACAATTTTATCATTATTATATTTTATTTTGTTTGTTTGTTTGTTCGTTCTTTCGTCAAAGCCGGTTTTTGTTTGTTTGCTTTATTCCACTTTTCTTAAAACTAATATTAAAATAATAATAATAATAATAGTAAAAGATCTTTCGAAACTCTGGAAATTTTTCTTATTTTTTTTAATGCGACTCGGAGTGACATCTGTTTAGGAAAACGTAAACTAAATGTAAAAAAAATTTTCCGGAAGTGAAAGTTAAAAAATTTTTTAAGAGATGACGCGCGCGCGCGAATTTATTTAAATTTAATTTTTTTTTTTTTTTTGACTAAAATCCCACGGGAAAAAATATGAAAATATTTGATATTTTTCAGGGATAAGTAAAGAAAGTAAAAACAAAGTTTTATCGGTGGTGAGAAATTGGGATGATTTTAATAGGGATGATGACGTCACGAAAATATTTCACGACGACGATAACGATGGAGGGAATATGAAAAATTTAAGGGATTACGTACAGGATTCGATACCGGAAGAAAACAGGTTCACGTTTAAGTAAGAATTTTTCTAACCCGGGGGGGGAGAAATCGTTTCCGGTTTAAAAAAATAAAAAATTATTATTATTATTATTATTGTTTTTTCTCCAGCGTACCTTGGAAAAAAGGTGGAATCGACACGGATGATGAAGATCACGAAAATTACATAAGCGAATTTAGCGAAACGATATCATCGAGACTTCACGAATTAATAAGCAGACATATCAAACAGGATCCGGAAGTGAAAGCTCGAAATAAAAACGTTCAGGTATATTTCACACTTTATACTCGATCGTAAAAACTTTTCATTTTCATTCCTTTTAATTTTTCTTCTGCTTTCCTTTTTTTTACAGGAAGTTTATAACGAAGTCGTCGCTCATCTTTCAATTAACGAAAAGCTCAACGTCATCGGTAGGAAAAATTCGTTTTGGGAAAATACGGAAACTTTAAACACGATTAGAAATTTAATGGTGTCGAGTTACCTTGCGGGTGAGAGGAAAATTCAACTTTTTCCGGTCCCCTTCCTACACCCCACTCCCTCTTTTAAAAGGAAATAATTATTATTATTATTATTATTTGTAGGTGAAACGAGTCGTCATTTGCCGATAATCGTACACGGGACTCATTTAACCGGTAAAAGCTCTCTAATTAACGACATTTATTCGAATTGCTCAAAATGGTTGGGAAAAAATTGTTTGAAAATATTAAGGTTTGCCAACATAACGCCGAGATCGAGTTATAATTTAGAACTCGTTAGAATAATTGCTCATCAATTGTGTTACGTTTTAAACGAAGGTAGATTAATAATATTATTATTATGTTTTTCTCATACGTCATCAAAAAATTTTGACGCATTTCCGGTTTGTTTTCCAGCTTTTTTACCAAAGGATGCATCTTTCGATCCGCTTTACATAAACAATTGGTTTCAAACTCTTTTGAGAAAATTAGAAGAATCCAACGATAAAATTGTTGTTATTATAATTGACGATTTGCACAGGTGAAGAATTTTCCTTAATGATGGTGGCGGTGGTGGTGGTGCCAACAGTTTTTCATTTTTTTTTCTTTTTTTTCGGTTGCACAGACTGAATCCGTTAGACTCCGACATAGTGGCTGCACTGTCTTGGCTTCCGATTTCGTTACCCTACAACGTTCATATCATCGCGACAACATTCCAACCGATCGAAGTGTTGAAATTAACACCCGTTCAAAGAGAAAGATTCAAAGTACCCGAATGTTTAATCGAATTACCCGGAAAATTTTCACTGGAAGGTATTTAAAAAAAAAAAAAAAAAAGGAAAAAGGAAAATTTTCCTATCGAAAAGTATGATGATGATGATAATAATACAAGGCTTTTTTTTTTTTTTCATCAATAGAACAAATGAAAAAAATCGATGAGAAATTTTCCACATTCGAAAATGAATTTGGTAAACACGTGACCGGAAAATTATTTAATTTAATAAGTTGTACGGAATTTGGACTAACGGAAACGGAAATTTTGGAAATTTTAATGCCGACGAACGACATAACGGATTTTGTCAAACTCGAAAACGGTCATTTAAATTTTTCAACATTGGCTGCGGCCAAATGCGTTTTGGGTAAATTTTTTTATTTTTTTTTTTTCCGGGGGGAGGGAGGGGAGGGGACTGAGAACGTGTGAATTTTTGCAAATTTTCTCTTTTTGTCTTTTTCCAGGCGATTTGATTTTACAAAAGGAAATGAGCGGTAAAATTTTAATAACGTGGCGTCACGGTTTGATCAAAGAAATGGCTAGAAAAAGGTACGCGACGTCACCGGACGTTCTCAAAGCTGCACACGCGGAAATTGCAAATTTATTTTTTCTAGAATTTACCAAAAACGAAGAAAAATCAAACGTCGATGCGGAAGGTACGCGTTATGCTATGCTGCTGTAGTGTTTTTCAAAATGTTAAATATTATTATTATCATCATCATGGTGTTTTTTTTTTTTTTTTTTTTTTTTGTAGAAAATGTAAAAGAAAGCGATTGCAAGGAAACTCCATTTCAATCAATTTTACAAACCGTCGATGTTACTTATAATATAAGACACGTGGAAGAAGCGTGGTTGCATTTGTTAAATGCAGGTACGTGCATGCGGACCGTAAAAAATGGCGGCGGATTTGAGTATTGTATTGTAAATTTAAATAAAAATTTTTTTACAGGATCCCACGTCGGATTGAAACAATTGTGCATTTGTAATTTCGATATGGCGTTGGCAGCCGTGCAAACCATATCCGTGTCTTACCTCAGATCACTTCTCGAACACGTCAGATCATTTCTTCTCGATCGAGATCTCGAACTCGTTTATTACACAGTACGAAAATCTAGTCAAGTCCTTACCAAAGATGCACTTCAACTTCCGACGCAATTCATTTGTTGGCTGCGACCCGTTTCAGGTTTTCCCTCTTTTTTTTTTTTCCTCCATTTTTCTCGTATTGACTGGAATTATTGTAACTCTTATCCATGACTTAATATTTTTTTTTTTTTTTTTCCAGAGGATAGCGGTGACATCGTGAGTCAAATGATAACGAGCGCCATGGCTTGGTGTGACGGTTACGCGGAACCTCTTTTGGTACCATTAAACGCTTGGCTCCAACCTCCTCTACCTCTCCAAATCAAAAGTAATTGAAGGACCCCCCGCCCCCAACAATTTATAATTTAAGGTTTTTAAAAAAAGTTTTCTTTTCCAGGTCTTCACGTACCCGGAGGCGTTCGTTTGATGGAACCGACTCCATCGAGTCAACATTTGGTCATCGTTCCGCAATCGGGAGATCCTCAACTTTGGCACATAATGACAAATGCTCTCGTTCACACGTTCAAAGGTCACAGTGGTCCCGTCGGATGTCTTTGCGTTACCAAACAATTACCATATTTGGTAACCGGGTCCGAAGACACTTCCATCATAGTTTGGGATCTGAAAACATTTTCCATAAAATTGAAAATTGTGTAAGCATAATAATAATAATAATAATATTTTATTGATTATTTTCTCATCGCATATTAATAAAAAAAAAAAAAAAATTTATAAATTAGAGAACACATAGCGCCGGTATTGAGTTTGTGCGTGGCATTAAACAATACCGTCATAGTAAGCGGTGGAGAGGACAGTAGAATCATCGTAACTTCTTTGACGACCGGTGACGTCATATTTAAAATCGATCATCACAGGGGACCAGTCACGTCGGTTAAAATCACATCGACCACGGATGTTTTAGTCTCTGGTAAAAAAAAAAAATTTTTTTTTTTTAATAAATCGATAAGTCGATGAGTCGAATCGATCGATATTTCATCTCGTTTTTTTTTTTTTTTGTAGGTTCTGTCGATGGAACCATATGTTTGTGGTCTTTGGAAAATAAAGTGACACTTCTCAACACAATGCAACTTGTTTCACCAGTGCTTTTAATGTCTCTAACAGAAGACAGCGTGTTCATATTGGCCTGTTGCGAAGACAATCAATTGTACCTGAGAACTTTGGCCACTGGAACCGAGCTCCACACTCTGAGAGGGCTTAAAACAAAAGTAAATGACTATGATGTTACCCCCCCTCCCCCCCACGCACGCACACTTTCGCGTTTACGAAATTACATTGTGATTGTTGTTTTTCAGGTACAGTGCATAAGTTTGGCATATGACAATCGAAGAGCAGTCGTAGGAGGAGCAGATGGTAGAGTTTATATTTTTGATTTACATTCTGGACTCATAACCCGTACGATTAATTCACACACGCAATGCGTGACGGGAGTTAAAGTCACGGATAAGGATGATTTTTTAATAACTGCCGGTAAGATATTTTAAATTTATAAAATTTTTTTATTTATTTAAAAAAAAAAAAATTGTTTTCATCTATGATTCTTTTTCTTCTCATCAGGGGGTACAAAAGTCACGTTCTGGAGTTTCCGACAGGAAGAAATCCCTAATAAAAAACCTTCAGCGGCTAAAAATCACACGGGACACATAACGTGTCTTTGCATATCGAGAGATGGAACGATAGCAGCCACGGGTAATTTAAACAAAATTATTTTTTTATGCACACACGCACACGCACACGCACACGAAAGATAATCGGTCAATGTTTTCTCTACGCAGGTGGCACGGATTCTTTGGTCAATATCTGGCAGATGAATTCACACGAATTGCAATACACGATGGAAGGACATTTATCGTCGGTCACGAGCGTTGCTTTGGCTGCAAACGGACTGTTCGCCGTATCCGGATCAGAAGATCATACTGCCAGAGTCTGGGGATTGACTTTGGGATTGGTAGTGTCCGTATTTAGGGTAAGTACTTAAGCTCGGAGCCGAAAAGGGGGGGAGGAGTGAAAATAATAATAATAATAATAATAAAATGATTATTTTGCACAGGGACATCAAACGACTGTGACCATTGTCTCCGTCATGTTGGATTCGAGAAGAGTGATATCGTGCGACAGAGGAGGTACCGTTTTCATATGGTTAGCAGACGATGCAACTCATCTTCAAACAATCACGGGTACTGCGGGGAAAAGTCTACAAGTTTCGAGTAATATGAAATATGCGGTTTGCGCACAAAATGAAAACAGGTAAGTCAAATAATTAATTAATTGATTGATTGATTGATTCCCCCCCAAAAAGGGGAAAAAACTTTATTTAACTTTTTTTTAACGTTATTTTTTTTTTTCATTCCGGAACAGTTTGAGGATTTGGTCACTGATCAGAGATGATGAAAAATACGTCGTCAATCATTCGGATGAAATAAGCTGTTTCGTCATCACTATGGATAGCACGATGGTCATAACGGGATCAAAAGATCAATCATTGAAAGTTTGGCAATTGGCCGGAGGAAAGCTCACTCAGGTAAGACGAAATAAATGAAAAGAGCAGACAAACAGCCAAACCGTAAACCCTCGTTGGTTGTCTTTTGCAGGTACTGATGGGGCACACGGATCACGTGACGTGCGTCGCAGTCTCCATGAACAAGTCTCAGGTGATATCCGGGAGCAAAGATTCCAACCTCATCGTGTGGGACATAATAACAGGAGCGGACCTCTTCACCCTGACCGGTCATCTGGGATTCATTACGTGCGTCCAACTGAGCGCCGATGGAACTCTCGCCATCTCAGGTTAACTCCGTCGCGGTGTATCTCCTCGTAATCCTCGTAAATCCTCGAGTACGATGTAACATCTTCGAATACTAATCCTTTGGTCGCGTTCATCAGGTTCAGAAGACAAGTGCATCATCGTGTGGGATGTCCAAAAGGGCCGACAGTTGTCCAGTCTGACGTTACACGTTCCGATCTTGGGATTATGCATGGCTTCGGATGCTTCTAGAATAGCCGTTCACCTCCTCGAAAGCACTTCACTACCGATCGTTTGCTTACACAACACTCCCGCCACTTATGTAAAACTTCCCACTTATGTAGCACCCGCGAAAGAAATTTCAGGTACGATGATGAAGATGAAGTTTTCGGAAATCCCAACACTTTGTAAAAATCCCAATTTTTTCCTCCCGTTTCTCCAGCGCCGGATCTTCGTCCAAGTGCGGGTTTGATGAAAAGGCCGATGCGTAGACTCTTGAAGAAAGAAGTTTCCCTGGACACGTACACCTGGCAGAAGAAATACGGTCACTTGACGTCCAACATAATGATGGCAGCCGTCGACGAGCGTCTTAAGAGAAGATTCAGCGTGTCCGCGAGCATGGAAGAAATATCGAAAATTCCAAATCAGGGATCACAAGTAAATAAAAAATCAAATTTGAAAATAAATGTCTTTTTGTTGAAAATTTGTACTTACCTTTCCTTAATGACGATCTCCATTTCCAAAAAAAAAATTCTTGATATTAGCAATTAGGTCCGGAACAAGCAGCTCTCGCACAATCCCAACATTTCGATCAATTGGAAGCTCTTTGGAATAAAAGGAGTCCACCGAGGAGGAGACTTCAATTGTCAAAACAAAATTCACGTCAAAGCGATCCGGCAACTCCACTGGAAGAAGATCCCGGTCTGTCGGATTAGAGAGAAACCAGACGAAATCCCGTATTCCTGTAAAATAATTAATTAATTTCTATTAGTGTGTCTCATTTCTATAATACATAAAAATTAGAATGATAATATTAATAATAATTAATTATTACTAATTAAAACTATAAATAAAAGTTTTCATTTCTTTCCTCACCCCCGCCCCCGCCCCCCGACCGAATCGTAAAAAGATCTCTTTTTAAAATTTTTAAAATAATATTCGAATCGTCTTTTTAAAAAATGTGATATTTTAAACCTATACTAAATAAATATATATATATATATATATATGTATACATAAATATAGTTTGTCATGTATTATTAAAGTGAGTCGAAACAATATTCTTACAATTAAATAATAATAATAATAATAATAAGCAACATAATACTTAATAAATGTATAAAAAAATTTAAAAAAATAATAATAATAATTATGTTAAAAAAAAAAAAAAAATGTTTCGAAACTTATTATTATTATTATTATTATGAATTTCCCTTTTCGTCCTTTTAATCGTTTTCCCTACTCCACTACTCCCCATCCCTTATTTTAAACATCCTACAGGTTTTTTAACTTTCCAAGTTTTGTATGCACGTGCAAAATTTATTACGGGTGATGTCTCAGTCAATAGAAAAAAAAAAAATAATAATAATAACATACCTTAATAACTAATCCTCGTGTGTTTGATCATTACTCAATCATATTGTGTATGCGCGTTAGAAAAAATCCGAGGCTTTTGGCCTGCTGTTTCCAATTCTTGGCAATTTGAGCAAATCGTCTGTCACGCTCACGGGCGTCGCTCTCCGTACGAGATGTTTTAATTTCGCATTTGGACTAGCCATGGGAGTGACGGGAGTCTTTGGTGTTCTCGGAGTTTTCGGTGTCAAGTTGAAATACGGTGACGACCTCGACGATTTCGGACTCGGAGAATATGAATTTCTCAGAGCGCTATCCGCATTCAACCTTTGACCCAGCGAAGCAGATGCGAGTCTTTGTGCGGCAGGAGACATTTCATTAATGCGATTTATGCAGGAACCCTGTCGTTTGGGAGTTTGCCTAAAAAAAAAAAAAACCAAAATTATTTTAGTTGTGAAAATTTAAAACGTGCCGTGACGTCATAAAAAATTATTTTTTTTTTTTTAAATATTCACCCTGATAATTGAGATCTTGCTGCTTCGATTGCTTTCCTTTTTTTATCCCTGTATGATTCGCTTGCTTTGTCTGCCAATGCCATTGCCAGTTTTTCTCTTTTGGGTATTTCAGGTATTCTAAATGTAGGTCCAGACGAAGAACTGTAAGGAGTGTCACTCCCATCCAGACGAAAAGGAGTTCCTTCAATTTCTCCCCATGTTATGATTGGAGATTCGTTAACTCCTAAAAATTTTGCAATAAGAATTAATTAACAATCGAAATTTTTCATTCTCAATGTGAAAAAACTTTTTTTATTAATTTACTAACCTGGCATCGGAGATGGCGTTCTGACAAAAGAAAACCCATTTACTTTGGGAGTTTCAACGCATGTCACAATTTTTCCATCGACTCCAATTTTTCCTTCTTGAGTTCTTGCTTGATTCATGGCGAGTTCGTGAATCACATCTTTATTCTGTTGCTCGTCAAAAGGATTTTTTGTTAATCTTGTGTTCTCATGAACAATTTCGTGTTTTTTCCTCATCATTTCATTTTTTTCCTCGACTGTCAAATCAACACCTGTCGAAAATAAATAAGTACGGTTAAAATAATTTTTATCGATTATTTTTTACAATCGGCTACCATATTTTTATGATAACATTAAATAAAATGTATTAAATTAAATATCAAATAATAAAAATTGTAAAAAAATACAAAATCTTACCTTCAGGAACATACATGCAGTAATTTTGATTTTTGTAAGTCCACGAAGTAAGACTTAAAGGTTTTTCTTTGCCAGATGCTTGGTCTTCTATCGAGGGAACTTTTAAACTATCTTCAATGCTTTTATTGAGTTCGCCTTCATTTTGATATAACCAACTATACTTTAATTTATGTTTGACAATGGATTCTTTGTGCATTTCTTTAAAACTTTCATTATCTTCGCTAGTGTGTGAGGCCAGATACTGATCTAACGATAACTTTTTACTCGAATTACTCGAACTACTATTTTGACCACCTTCGCCATCATCATTTTCTGCTGGGCCATTATTAGATTTTGCACTTTTCGATTTACTGCAAGAAGCACCTTTTTCAAGATCGTTTTCTAAATTTGCCTCTTCTACGCAATCGTTATTTAATTTTGGTTGAACAGGAGTTTCAAATGTGGCTGGACTGGGAACTGAAAATAATTTTTTTTTTTTTTTTTTTTATTAAATTTAACGTTTAAGCTAATATAATCGGTTCGAAAACTAAGTACTATAAAAAAAAATTTTAATTTAATAATACAATGAATAAAAATGCTTACCTCTTTCCGTAGGAGGCCTTTTACCAGAACTGTACTTGTAATAAATTTGCATCATTTTCTCGGAATCGTTTTGCGATTGAGCATCCAAATATTCATTTTGTGCTTTCAATTTCATTAAATCGGGAAAAAAATCACGTTGAATTATTTTACCCATTTCTTCTAAATACGTTTCTTCTTCCAAAACTTTCTGTTTTTTTTTCAATGGAGTTTTAGGAACTTTGAACAAGCCTAATTCTGTATTCACCTTCATCACTCCCAGAGCTTTTTCTCCGGGAATTTTAGAATCCTTCATATTAAAAAACAAATATAACTATTTAACTATTAAAACGAAACACTTTTACACTTATTTATCAAAAAAAAAGTCAAAAGAAATATTAAAAAAAATTAAAATAATGATCGACGCAATACACGTGCAGTCGCGTCGATCACAGTTGCGGCCATTTTGATTTCATCACATTTTTTCACAATGAAACAGGAAAAAAAAAGTAACGCTATAAAAGTTCTTAAAAATATTTTGAAACAATTTTCGTTATAAAAATGTTTCACGTGTTGCGAATCTCTCTAAAAAAAAATTAATTTAAACTATTAAAAACACATTTTAAATTAAAATTTTTATCCGTTATTCAAAATAAATTTTTTTTTTTTCAAATTTTTCTTAATAAATACTTATTTTCAATAGATAAACTATTGTTTATTAACTCATCTTATAACTTAAACTTTTTTTTTTTTTAAAGAATTAGGAATTAAATTAAAAATTTATAAAAAAACAAAATTAAATTTAAAAAAAAAAAACTCAAATACATTCATTAAAAATAAATACAGTAGAGCTTATTATAATCATTAAAAAAAAAAAAAAATTATCACAAAAAAAAAAATTACGGCATTAAATTTAATACAAAAAAATAATAAAAATCATGAAAATGTTTTTTATTTTATTGTACAAAACGACGACATTCCCCAAAACGTGAATTCATCATATTCGTTACAAAACGACAATAACAACAACATCATCATCATCATCATCATCATTAAAAAATATGTTATTGACATGAGAAAAAATAATAATAATAATAATAATAATTTTATTGAATTTTAAAAGATTTCCGATTCGAGAATACTTTCCATACTCATACTCATCATCATCATCATTATTTTATGTTTTTTTTTTTTTTTTTTTTTGGCTACCGAGATAAATATTCGATTGAGCAAATTTTTAAAAATCTTTTTTCACGCACAAAAAAACAATATAAGTAAATACACACGCACACGCACACGCACACACACACTTACACGTGAGAGAGAAAAAAAAAACCGTTATTTTTAAAAATAAATTTTCCGCCATTTTTACCACATATTTATTGCACTTATTATCGATAATAACATAAGTGACACATTATTTTAAAAAATTCTAATCAATCAATCAATCCATCACATTAAATTTAAAAAAAAACTACTAAACTTATAACTTATTATTATTATTATTATAAAATTAAAAAAAAAAAAAAATTACACAAAGTTTTACAAATAAAAAAAATGTAAGACGACTATTATTATTCACGGTTACAAAATAACAATAATAATAATTAAATTAAATAATTCTATTATTATTATTATTATTATTATTATTATTTTATTGAATTCTATGAATTAAATTAAAAAAATTTACAAATATAAAAAATAAAAATAATAAAATTAAAAAAAAATTACATCAATTTAATTTAATTTAATTTAATTTATTAAAAAAAAAAAAATTCTCATCTCGGTAGCCATATTTAATAATACATATATACAATGATATTATTATTATTTTTATTTATATATATATATATATATTTAAAAACTGTGGATGATAAAGATATCAAGGGTATTAATTATAACCATGT